CCCCTCAACTGAAGGATCATTCATGACGTGGTGGTGTCCCACACAGAGAGAATGCTGGCCTGTGCATCCTAGGCGGCTGCCTAGTTTGCCTAGTGGAAGCACTGGCCCTGGATGGTGCCTTCACAATTCTGAGGCCAATGCCACTTGGTAATGTCAGCGGCATGGCACAAATGGTCTTTTTAGCTATCTGTAGGGGGGGGGGGGCATTCTGAATACGATGTAAGGAGGGGCATCTTTCCACTGACCCACCATGAAATGAATTAGCAGGGGTTGCCTGAGACCTGAACATTTTTTCAAGGGTTCCTCTAAGGTAAAAGGGTTGAGAAAGGATAGGTAGAACAGAGGTACCCAAACCTTCTAAACAAAGGGCAAGTTTACTGTCCTTCAGGATTTCGGAGGGCCGGACTGTGAGCAGTGGGACATATTGTCCATAAATGAAGGAGGAGATGGAGGCCATACAAAGAATTATGGGTATATAGATAGTGAGGGCCATGATTCAACACTTAGAATGAGAGGATATATTGTCCATAAATGAGGTAGGAGATGGAGGCCATGCAAAGCATTATGGGTATACAGATAGTGAGGGCCATGATTCAACACTTAGAATGGGAGGACATATTGTCCATAAATGAAGGAGGAGATGGAGGCCATGCAAAGAATTATGGGTATATAGATATTGAAGGCCATATTTCAACACTTAGAAAGAGAGGACATTTTGTTCATAAATGAAGGAGGAGATGGGTACCATGCAAGGCATTATGGGTATATAGAAGAGGGCCACTATTCAACACTTAGAACAGGAGGACATATTGTCCACAAATGAAGGAGATGGAGGCCATGCAAAGCATTATGGGTATATAGAAGAGGGCCACTATTCAACACTTAGAACAGGAGGACATATTGTCCACAAATGAAGAAGATGGAGGCCATGCAAAGCATTATGGGTATAGAGATAGTCAGGGCCATGATTCAACACTTAGACCGGGAGGACATATTGTCCATAAATGAAGTAGGAGATGGGTACCATGCAAGGCATTATGGGTATATAGAAGAGGGCCACTATTCAACACTCAGAACGGGGAGGACATCTTGTCCATAAATGAAGGAGGAGATGGAGGCCATGCAAGGCATTATGGGTATATAGATAGTGAGGGCCATGATTCAATACTTAGAATGGGAGGACATATTGTCTACAAATGAGAAGTCATCAACTCATCCTCAGGTAAACGTTCTACAGAATTTATTTCTGTAACACAAAAGTATAAAAGACTAAAATTCCAAACAACGTGGCTTCCTTGTAGTATTAGAAAAGAACATAAAGGAAAAAAAATCGAGAATCCAGGTACTTTGTAATACCCCGACTTACAAATATTGTATCGATTTCAAGTATATACATTATTGTATCTGCATATGTTTAATAGTAAAACATAAACTCTGTCAATACATTTTTTTTTTTAGGCAACTATGAAATGTTACATTGGAAAACGTCTTATTTACCAAGTGCAGACAGCAGGTGGCCCTTTCCAAACAAATGAAACGGTCTCACGGCTCTGGGGTGTAGTCTGATCTCCCCTGCTCTTCAGCCTTTTGGCAATATTTAGCTCCTCCCTGTCCGCCATCTCTCACTTGGAAGCTTCTGCTGACCTGTGTTTGCGCATTGGACGCCGTCTGGTCTGTGAACAATACGGACGAGCGATTCCATGGACAAGCTGCTCTTTTCATCCGTAGCGTTAGGCGATCTGCTTCGATGAACCCATTCGTGACGGCTGTGGGTGGCAGGACGGGTGGCCTCTAAGACCCAGATGCCACCACCATAGGCATCCATAGGTAACCGCCATTCTGTGTTGAGCGTGCTCCCAGCGGTCATGGAGAGTTCGCGGTCGCTGTTTACGATTGGTTGCTTCTGATCATGTGACAACCGAAAAAGCCGATCACATGATCAGGAAGCCTGCCTCTTCCTCCCTCTTAAAGGGTCACCAGTCTGGGGCAAAGGGTCAAAGAGAAACATGGCGCTGGTCTTGGGCAAGGGATCAAAGAGAAACATGGCGCTGACCTCTAGGAAAAAAAGATACTTACCAGCCCATGGAGTCCGGCGCCATATTCCAGCGGGTTCCTCCAAGGGCTACGTCTTGATTTTCATGAGCCGGCTGTCATTTCCTGATATCCAATAGCCACGCCCTACTGCGCATGCGTGAGACACGTCAGTGCGGGAAGACTGGTCCTGTAGACCAGGAAAAGGAAAAGTCGGTCGCACTACTATCATCACCTTCATTGGAGAATCTTCAATAAACTGACGATCATAGACACTGCAGACTGGAATGCAGAAGAAACTGACGCATTTCGTTCTGTGATCCCCTCTGCTGTGCTTCCTGTCTTCACAGGAAAAGGAAAAAAATTGGTTGGTTGAACTCCTGAAATAACCTTCATTGTAGAATCTTCAATGAACTGACTGACTATCTCATAGACACAACAAAGGGGATTGCAGAACAAAACTAACGCGTTTCGTTCTGTGATCCCCTCTGCTGTGCTTCCTGTCTTCACAGGAAAAGGAAACTAATTGGTCGCCGCACTTCTAAAACCACCTTCATTGTAGTATCTTTAATGAACTGATTATATCATAGACACAGCAAGGGAGAATGCAGAACAACTAACGCGTTTTGTTCTGTTATTCCCTATGCTGTGCTTCCTGTCTTCACAGGAAAAGGGAAAAAAGTAGTCGGCCGCACTACTACCATCCCCTTCATTGTAGAATCTTCAATGAACTGACAAGATCATAGACACAGCAGAGGGGAACAAAGACAAACTTATTTTGTGCGAAATGCGTTAGTTTTGTTCCATGTTTCCCTCTGCTGTGTCTACGATCTTGTCAGTTCATTGAAGATTCTCCAATGAAGGTGGTTTTAGAAGTGCGACCGACCATTTTTTTTCTTTTCCTGTGAAGACAGGAAGCACAGCAGAAGGGAATCACAGAACGAAACGCGTCTGCAGTGTCTATGATATTGTCAGTTCATTAAAGATTCTACAATGAAGGTGATTAAAGTAGTGCGACCGACTTTTCTTTTTCCTTGTCTACAGGACCAGTCTTCCCGCACTGACGTGTCTCACGCATGCGCAGTAGGGCGCGGCTATTGGATATCAGGAAGTGACAGCCGCCTCCTGAAAACCATTTTTTTCCTTTTCCTGTGAAGACCGGAAGCACAGAGAGGGGATCACGGAACGAAACGCGTTGGATTGTTCTGCGTTCTCCCTTGCTGTGTCTATGATATAATTAGTTCATTAAAGATGCTACAATGAAGGTGGTTTTAGAAATGCGACCGACCATTTTTTTCCCTTTTCCTGTGAAGACCAGAAGCACAGAACGAAACGTGTTTGTTCTGCGTTCTCCCTTGCTGTGTCTATGATGTAGTCAGTTCATTGAAGATTCTACAATGAAGGTTATTTCAGAAGTTCGACCAACCAATTTTTTTTTCCTTTTCCTGTGAAAAAGCACAGAGAGGGGGATCACAGAACGAAATGCGTTAGTTTTGTTCTGTGTTCCACTCTGCTGTGTCTATGATGTAGTCAGTTCATGGAACATTCTACAATGAAGGTGATGGTAGAAGTGCGACTGACCAATTTTTTTTCATTTTCCTGTGAAGACAGGAAGCACAGAGAGGGGGTCACAGAACAAGACGCGTTAGTTGTTCTGCAATCTCCCTTGCTGTGTCTATGATGTAGTCAGTTCATTGAAGATTCTACAATGAAGGTGATGGTAGAAGTGTGACTGACCAATTGTTTTCCTTTTCCTGTGAAGACAGGAAGCACAGCAAAGGGAAACACAGAACGAAACGCGTTGGTTTGTTCTGCATTCTCCCTTGCTGTGTCTATGATATAGTCAGCTCATCACAGAATGAAACGCGTTGGCTTGTTCTGCGTTCTCCCTTGCTGTGTCTATGATGTAGTCAGTTCATGGAACATTCTACAATGAAGGTGATGTAAGAAGTGCAACTGACCAATTTATTTCCATTTCCTGTGAAAACAGGAAGCACAGCAGAGGGGATCACAGAATGAAACGCGTTAGTGGTTCTGCGATCCACTCTGCTGTGTCTATGATAAAGTCAGTTCATTGAACAGTCTACAAAGAAGGTGATGGTAGAAGTGCGACTGACCAATTTTTTTCCTTTTCCTGTGAAGACAGGAAGCACAGAGAGGGGATCACAGAACGAAACGCGTTAGATGTTCTGCATTCTCCCTTTTCTGTGTCTAGGATATAGTCAGTTCATGGACCATTCTACAATGAAGGTGATTTCAGAAGTGTGACCAACCAATTGTTTTCTTTTCCTGAGAAGACAGGAAGCACAGCAGAGGGGATCACAGAACGAAACGCGTTGCACTGTTCTGCGTTCTCCCTTGCTGTGTCTATGATGTAGTCAGTTCATTGAAAATTCTACATTGAAGGTTTTTTTCAAAAGTGCGACCGACCATTTTTTGTTTCCTTTTCCTGTGAAGACAGGAAGCACAGCAGAGAAAAAGAGAACGAAACGCGTTAGTTGGTTCTGCATTCTCCCCTTGTTGTGCCTATGATATAGTCAGTACATTGAAGATCCTACAATGAAGGTGATTTTAGAAGTGCAATTTCCTTTTCCTGTGAAGACAGGAAGCACAGCAGAGGGGAACACAGAACGAAACGCATTAGTTTGGCTGGAAGTACGTGTGAGAAACTTTTCAGGCAACACTGCAGGAATCCTCCAGTCATGCTCCGCCCCCTTTTCTAGAAAAAATAATTAAAGGGAACCTTATTAACATCAAACTATTTAAGGAACTCCGCCCTCTTTATAAAGTGCTCGTCCACAAACGTCGAACATTTCCCGTAATCAGAGCACTGATATGTCTTTCTGCTGTACAATACATTTCCCGCACATTAATACACCACGAGGGTCTCGTGGGACGTTTGGTGTCTGGAGAGATCAGATTTTTTCATAAAACGTTTCCCACACTTGGAGCACACATGTGGCTTTTCCCCCGTGTGGGACCTCTGATGTACGGCGAGGTCCGATTTATACACATAAGTTTTCCCGCACTCGGGGCAGGAGTACGGCTTATCACCCGTGTGATATATTTGATGTCTGAGCAGCTGCGATTTCCGCGGGTAACACTGCCCGCACTCGGGGCAGGAATACGGCTTCTCCCCCGTGTGGCACCGCTGATGCCTGGAAAGGTGGGACTTCTGCGAAAAACATTTCCCGCACTCGGGACACAAGAACGGCTTTTCCCCCGTGTGGGATCTGTGGTGTCGGATGAGATCTTGCTTCCGTACGAAACATTTCCCGCACTCTGAACAGGAAAACGGCTTCTCTTCCATGTGGGATCTCTCATGTTCGGCCCAGCTCTGACTTATTTAGAAAACATTTCCTGCACAGCGGACAGGCGTGAAGATTATCATCCGCGTGAGATCTCTCGTGCACAGCAAGATTATATTCATGTTCGAAGCATTTTCCGCACTGCAAACACTGGTGCAACCTCTCACCCGTGTGAGATCTCTGGTGTCTATCGAAGTCGTGCCTCTTGACAAAACATTTCCCGCACGCAGAACAGGAATACCACCCATCTTCTTGGTGAGATCTTCTATGGACCTGAAGACTGGATTTTTAGACTATAATGCTGCCCGCAATCGGTCCAGGAGAACATCTTATCAGTACCAAGGGTGGGCGGGGGTTGGGTTCCTATTAAGATCGGAGGTGACCCATCTGCACTGTCAGGCAACGGGTTTCCCGCAAGGAGGTCTTCTTCAGGACGATACAATGTAGAGTCCACATCTTCTTTCCAACCTGGAGACCATGAAAGACCACCCACCGAGGTTCTCCTGACGTCCCATCCATGTCCTAGAGAAATCAAAAGATGATTGTTAGACATGGGTGGATGATCTTGGCTAAAAGTCACAGTTACATACAGTGAAGGTAATGCGTATTTGCTCCCCTGCTGATGTTGAATGTTCGCCCACTCACAAAGAAATGATCGGTCTAAAAATCGAATGTTCGGTGTATTGTAACACTGAGAGACAGAATAGGAACAACAAATTCAGCAGAAATGCATGTCTAACAAATGATGACTGATCTGTATGTTCATGAGGGGAATAAGGATTTGATCCCTTCACAAAACATGACTTAGTACTTGGTGGCAAATCCCTTGTTGGCAATCACAGAGGTCAGACGTTTCCTGGAGTTGGCCCCCAGGTTTGCACACATCTCAGGAGGGATTTTGGCCCACTCCTCTTGGCAGATCCTCTCCAAGTCATTAAGGTTTGGTGGCTGACGTTTGGCAACTCGAACTTTCAGCTCCCTCCACAGATTTTCAGTCGGATGAAGGTCTGGAGACTGGCTAGGCCACTCCAGGACCTTAATGTGCTTCTTCTTGAGCCCCTCCTTTGTTGCCTTGGCCGTGTGTTTTGGGTCATTGTCAGGCTGGAACACCCATCCACGACCCATTTTCAATGCCCTGGCTGAGGGAAGAAGGTTCTCACCCAAGATTTGATGGTACATTGCCCCGTCCATCGTCCCTTTGATGCGATGCAGTTGTCCTGTCCCCTTAGCAGAAAAACACCCCCAAAGCAGAATGTTTCCACCACCATGTTTCGCAGTTGGGATGATGTTCTTGGGGTCATAGGCAGCATTCCTCCTCTTCCAAACACGGCGAGTTGAGTTGATGCCAAACAGCTGGATTTTGGTCTCATCTGACTACAACACTTCCAACCAGTCCTCCTCTGCATCATTCAGATGTTCAGTGGCAGACTTCAGACGGTCCTGGACATGTGCTTTCTTGAGCAGAGGGACATTGCGGGCACTGCAGGATTTCAGTCCTTGTCGGCGTAGTGTGTTACCAATTGTTTTCTTGGTGACTGTGGTCCCAGCTGCCTGGAGATCATTGACAAGATCCTCACGTGTAGTTCTGGGATGATTCCTCACTGTTCTCATGATCATTGACACTCCACGAGGTGAGATCTTGCATGGTGCACCAGACCTAGGGAGACTGACACTTGTTTTGTGTTTCTTCCATTTGTGAATGATTGCACCAACTGTTGTCACCTTCTCACCAAGCTGCTTGGCCATAGTTTGGTAGCCCAATCCAGCCTTGTGTAGGTCTACAATCTTGTCCCTGACATCCTTGGACAGCTCTTTGGTCTTTGCCATGGTGGAGAGTTTGGAATCTGATGGTTTGATTGCTCCTGTGGACAGGTGTCTTTTATACAGGTAACAAAATGAGATTAGCAGCACTCCCTTTAAGAGACTGTTTCTAATCTCAGCTTGTTGCCTGTATGAAAGACACCTGGTAGCCAAAAAAGTGAGACATTCATTGATGTTTCTGCTGTCAGTGGGGTTCCCGGCTGTCAGCTGAATGTCAAAAGAATTGTTGGCATTGCTCAACAATTACAAAATTTTTTTCAAAATGATGTGGAGTCCCCCCTCCCATCCATACAAAGCCCTTCGGATCTGGTATGGATTTTGAGATGAACCCCTATGCCAAAATTTTTTTTTTAAAAATGGCGTGGGGAACCCGCACGTCGAAATTAAAAAAAAAAAATGGTGTGGGCCCCCCCCCCCAAAATCCATACCAGACCCTTATCCAAGCATGCAGCCCAGTAGGTAAGGAACCATACCAGGCCACATGCTTTCAACTTTGGGGCCCCCCCCCCCAAAGCACCTTGTCTCCATGGCCAGTGGTTGTGGGGGTCTGCGGTTGGGGGGCCTATCGGAATATGACAGCCCCCTTTAATAAGGGGGACCCCAGATCCTGCCCCCCAAGTGTGAATGATTATGTGGTACATGGTGTAGCATAAAAAAGACAGGAGACAGTCTCTGACAAGTCCTTTTTTAAAAACCAAACCCCCCCTCCTAAAAAAGTCCCCCGAAGTAGATCCAACGTCAATCACGATGCCCACCACCACCGACCCGAAAAAATAGAAAATAAAACACACCTCTCACGCGCCGCCGGCTCCCGCTGCCTGACATCTGTGCCGGGATGACAGTTCTTAACCATTTCCATACCGGGCACTTTTACCCCCTTCCCTCCCAGGCCCATTTTTCAGGTTTCAGCGCTCTCCCACTTTGAATGACAATTGCACGGTCATACAACATTGTACCCAAACTAAAATTTTATCATTTTCTTCACACAACTAGAGCTTTCTTTTGGTGGTATTTAATCACCGCTGGGGTTTTTAATTTTTGCTAAATTAACAAAAAAAGACCGAACATTTTTTTAAAAAAACACGTTTTTCTTTGTTTCTGTTATAAAAGTTTGCAAATAAATAATTGTTCTTCATAAATTTAGACCAAGATGTATTCTACTACATGTCTTTGGTGAAAATAACCCAAATTAGGATGTATTTTTTAGTTTGTAGGAAAGTTATCGAGTTCACAAACTATGGTATAGATCTGAATATTGATCAATCCTGAAGTACTGACGGCCAATCTAATTTCTTGAGGTCCAAGAATGTCAGGACAGTACAGATATCCCCCAAATTTCAGGATGGTACAGATATCCCCCAAATGTCAGGACGGTACAGATATCCCCCAAATGTCAGGACAGTACAGATATCCCCCAAATGTCTGCACGGTACAGATATCCCCCCGAATGTCAGGACGGTACAGATATCCCCCAAATGTCAGGACGGTACAGATATCCCCCAAATGTCAGGACGGTACAGATATCCCCCAAATGTCAGGACAGTGCAGATATCCCCCAAATGTCAGGACAGTACAGATATCCCCCAAATGTCAGGACAGTATAGATATCCCCCAAATGTCAGGACGGTACAGATATCCCCCAAATGTCAGGACAGTACAGAGATCTCCAAATGTCAGGACAGTACAGATATCCCCCAAATGTCAGGACAGTACAGATATCCCCCAAATGTCAGGACGGTACAGATATCCCTCAAATGTCAGGATAGTACAGATATCCCCCAAATGTCAGGACGGTACAGATATCCCCCAAATGACCCCTTTTTGCAGAGTAGACAGTCTGATGTACTTCATAAGAGGCATGGCGAGTTTTTTGAAGTTGTATTTTTTTTGTCATAATTTTTCGGAAAATTAAAAAATTAAAAAAATTATTTTCACATATTTTTTTTTTTTTTACATACTGTCACCAGTGCAGTACAGCGTCATCATATAACTGGAATGGCAGTGATCAGGGACACTGACTGGTGACAGTATGAAAAAAAAAAAAAAAAATTATTTATTTTTTTTTATTATTTTTAATTTTGTATTACATTTTCTTTCTTTTTTTTAAGATTTTTTTTCATAGGTCACGTTGACCAAAGTAGTACAATGTTACCATAGTAACATTATACTACTTTGGGGAAATAATCAGTATTTTTTTTTTTTTTTTTTTTTACACAATTTGCTTATAGCAAAGAATTACTTTGCTATAAGCAAGCATTTACCTGAATGACATTGATTCATTCAGGGCTTTTTTTTTTGTGCTTAGCTGTGATTTGGCCACGGTTAATAACATGACACAGCTGGGCTGTGATTGGCCCAGCTTGTGCATGTGATCGCTGTTACCATTCACAGCTAGGCACACTAGTATACAATGGATGGCATGAATAAAGCCATCCATTGTATACAACTGTCATGTGACCTGCTGTAATTGGTCACAGCAGGTCACATGGTACCGGCAACGGGGCTGGTACTGAGATCTGTCATCGGCCGTGTCCGAAGTACATGGCCGGCAACAGATTGTGCCACTACCGCGGCTCTGCAGGCACGCAAACTGCGCATGCCCGGGAGGACGCCATATGGCGTCCACCCGGAACACTGAAGGATTTTGCCGGGCGGCTAATGGTTAAATACAGTCATGACGTCACAAGGGGGCGGGGTCACAGCTGTGGTCAGGTGCATTGCTTTGGCCAATCACAATGCACTGTCAGGGCAAAGTGCATTGTGGGGAGCGGTGAGTGAGTAGCCCGCCGAACACCCTTACCGTTCGAATGGTCAATGTTCAAGTCGAAAGTATGTTCAACTCAAACATAAAGCCCATCACTATTGCTGAGTGGTCTTCAGCTAGTTTCTGCTTTACCCATGCTCTGACCAGTGACGGAACTACCAGGGTCGCAAAGGTCTCACTTGCGACCGGGCCCATTTCTGATACATAAATGACCAACATTCAAGTCAAATGTACGTTCAACTCAAACATAAAGCCCATCACTATTGCTGAGTGGTCTTCAGCTAGTTCCTGCTTTACCCATGTCTTGACCAGTGGCGGAATACCAGGGTCGCAAAGGTCTCACTTGTGAATGGGCCCGTTTCGAGCACACGAATGGCCAATGTTCAAGTTGAATGTACGTTCAACTCAAACATA